TGGGGTTGCCCGAGTTTACCACACACCCTTCGAGAAAAGACTTTGAAGAGGATGCTGGGCAGCGAGAACTTGCACGACGAGGAGAGCAGCGAGAACAGCGAGGACGAGCCGATCCACGAGTGCCCGGCGGATGTTTTGTTAACTGGGAAGGCCGTTCGCTCCGAGATCAAGCTCAAGGACCTGAAGCCCGAGGACCGCGCAAAGTTTGAAGCCTCTATGGCTAAGGAATGGTCATCTAGGATGAAGTTCGATGCCGTGCAAGAGCTCACTGCCGAAGAGATTGCCCAGCTGCCCCCGGACACGAAGATCATCGGGATGCGGTGGGTTCACACCGACAAGAACGACAAGCCACGACTTCTTGCCAAAGCCCTGGCGAAGAGAACTGGCAAGACCGCCGACCAGATCAAGAAGGAGTTCCCGTTCGAGGCCAAATCCCGCATGGTCGTGCAAGGGTGCCAGGAGAATGACAACGGCATTCGTTCCGACAGCCCGACCGCCTCCCTCCTGGCTTTTAACCTCGTGTGCACGGTGGCAGTGTTGCAAAGGTGGATCCTGGTTGCCTGTGACGCCTCGACCGCCTACCTCCAGTCCCAGGGAATAGACCGGTTGCTCATTTTGAGGGCACCTCGGCCACCACCGCCTGGAGTTGCCCAGCACGCTCTTTTCCGGGCAAAGGGTTCCATCTATGGGACCAAGGACGCGGGGAGGTCATGGTGGAAGAAGTTGTTCCGGACCCTCAGGAAGTACCGCTGGACCATGTCAAAGATCGAGGCAGCCCTGTTCTACCTGGTCAGCGGTGACAAGCTTGTGGGGGTCATGCTCTCCCACGTAGACGACCTCCTGGCAGCCGGCGAGGGCAGCGACTACGAGGCCACCCTCATGGCACTGGAGAAGGAGCTCTACCTGAAGGTCAAGCGCCAGGAGTTCCGCTTCTGCGGGAAGAACGTGAAGCAGAAGGACAACACCATAGCGGTGGACCAGTTCGACGCCATCGAGAGCATAGACTACATGCTCCTGGCCCCAGCCAGGAGGAAGCTCCCGAATGCCACGTTGACCGAGGAGGAGAAGAGCAACTTCCGTGCTCTTATCGGGCAGATGGGCTGGGTCACGCGCCAGTCAAGACCCGACCTCACTGTGAACGTGAGCATGGCTTCTCAGAGCATGGGCCGACCGACCGTGAAGGATGTGGTCGAACTCAACAAGGCCGTGAAGATGCTGAAGGAGACCTCGGAGGCCAAGTGGAGGTTTGTGGCCTCGGACCTGACACTCGAGGAGTGCTGAGTGTTCTGCTTCGCCGACAGCAGCTTTGCCAACGGCGAGGGTCTGAAATCACAGTGTGGATACGTGGTCGGGCTCACGAAGGAGAGCATCACGGACGGCTCGGAGCACCCGATCTACCTCCTCGAGACCTACAGTGGGAGCATAAAGCGCGTGTGCAGAAGCACACTGGCCGCAGAGTCGAATGGATTCTTGGCCGGCGCCGAAGCAGCGGAGTACGTGAGGATGATCCTGATGGAAGTGAAGTACCCCACGGAGAGGCTCATCGACCTGGACCGCGAGTTCAAGAAGGACCGAGTGCTCTGCTTCACCGACGCTAAGAGCCTGGAGAGCAGCATCAACAAGGATGCTGGGATATCCCAAGACAAGCGTGTCCGCATTCTTCTGGCACAAGTGAAAGAGCTCCTGGGTCTCAACGACTACCAGGATGACAAGAACCTATACGCCATCTGGGTGGATACAAGCCAGATCTTGGCCGATGTGCTGACGAAGTGCGGATGCGAGCGCGAGCCCCTGCTGAGTGCCCTTTTCAATGGCACCTGGAGACTGGAGCCGAGCGACGAGGCCCAGCGCAAGAAGGAGCAGATAAGGGCCGGCAGGAAGACTAGAAAAGAAGCCCTCCGCAAAGCCGAGGACGGGTGAGAAACTACCACCCTAGCAGCTGTGCAGTTTAGCAGCAGGACAGCATGCTGTTTGGCAGTTTGTCGGAAGGTGTGCACAGAAGCTCTTCCGATGCCTTTCGGCTTTACTGAGGGCGCCCTTTTGAGGTAAAAGATAGCTACCACAGTGCATCCGCGCCTGCTTGTGCACTTTGACAAAATATTATTAACACCATCACCGTTGCTACCAATATTACCTCTGAGCTATGATGACGATTATGATTATTGCTACTCTTACTTATATTTCGATTGCTTTTTTCGTTTTTATTCTTGCCTATTGCCGTTATTACCATTATGACTACTATACCTATAGGGGTGCACCCCGCCCCACCCTGCAACCCCCCACCCACCCTTGTAAGCCTGACAAGCTGGCTTCAAATAGCATGCTGCCAGCCCGTGATATACACTTTGTGTTTGCAAATGGGGGTGGGTGCTGTGGCCCCTCCCAACCCCCCCCCCCCCCTTTTCCTCGGATTTCTTCTTAAGCCGTGCAAGCTTGCGTTCAAGAGCATCCGCACCAGCAAAAACGAATTGCGTCAAGCATATACGTCTTCTAGAACTTTTCAACACCCATCATACAGGCATTCTGCGCCCGCCCAACCCCCGCCCCCCACCCGCCACCTCCGTCTTAGGCCGCGCAGGCCTGCTTTAAAGAACATTTGCTCCATAAAATCAACTGCGTCAGGCACATACAATTCTTATCGATTTTTTCAAAATCCATACAGTCATTCTGCTTGTAACGGGGGGGGGGGGCTGCGCAGACCCCCAGCCCCCCCGGCTTTGTTTACTCCGCGCAAGCTCGCTTCAAAAAACATCGTTCCAGCAAAAACAGATCCCATATGGACCTTTTCTGAACCCGTGATACAGACATTGCATTACTTGGGTTTGGGCATGGATGCTTTGGTGGTCGCACGCAATGAGGCATGGACGGATGCTGTGGTGATCACACACCACTACGACGATGGATGTTGTTAGGGTTTAGGCATGGATGCGTTGGTGATCGCACGCAATTGGGCGTGGACGTTATTAGATTCAGGTTTGGGCATGGACGCTCTGGTGGTCGCGCGCAACCAGGCGTGGACGTTAGTGGATTAGGGCTTGGGCAGGATGCTGTGGTGATTCTCGCACGCAATTAGGAATGGACGTTATTGGATTAAAGGTTTGGCCTAAACGCTCAGATGATCAGACACAATTGCGCATGGATGCTATTGAGGTTTGGGCATGCCCACAACCCCAGACTTTCAATCCGTAGAGGGCGCTCCAATTGCGTGGGGCAAGTGGGTCAGGGGCCAGACAAGTTGCGTGGTCTGGCCGGACTTGCAGTCGGCCAGGTTCTCGAGACGAGGTGAAGCTTATGGGGCTTTGGAAGCGTGGAATCCCCAAAACTAAAACACAAAAAACACAAAAGCCATTCCCATGCAGACGAGGACGAAAGTCACAGCCATGAGGCTACGGTGGGAAATCCACAAGCCAAACCAGCAAAAAATAACATAAAATGGCAGAAAACCCCAGAAACAGTGTGAGAAGCATCAGGACTCCCGTCCTTATCAAAGAAGACAACAGGAGTTCTCAAGCTTCTTAAGCTTGTTCACATCACGGTGTGGCCGAGCTAATTTTGCATCACGAAGGCTTATGAAGGCTTGAAACTTCAAGATAATTATCTCCAGGTACGTGGAAAGTTCGATAGTGCCTTTGTCGGTGAAGGCGCGGCGCCGTCAAGGATGTAAGGTTTCTGGGCTATCAGCTGCATCAGTTGCATAAACCAGGTTGTACTGGCAGTTGCGCAGGAGCAGGTTGGAGAGCCCCTCCGGCTTGTTATCACCACTGAGCGCATAACGTCTCGGTTTCCTGGGCGGTTATGGCATCGTGGGGTCTTCAATGGTCTTCAGTTTATGTCCATGCGAGGCAGGTGTCTCGATTGGCGCAAATTCTACTCTCGAAAATCGAGGCTATCAGGCTGGGAGCTCAATCAATGTTTCCTGTGGTTGCAGATAATCCGGGGGGCATTTGGCATGCTTCTGCAATGCCGAGGCTCATAACATGCGTGCGACTCAGTCGCACAACACACAATGTGTAGATGGTTACGACATCTAAACGTAAGCTGTCAGCATTGGAAGACAAGCCCGGCCATGGCCCGCACATCATTAAGCCTTAACTCTTGAGAGGACATGAATCAAACACAAGGCCAGCTGTGTGCCATCTTGGATCTTGCCTGAAGCCTTATCCTATGGTTTATTATGCTTTCCAGCAGTCACGAGCGACGAGGTCACCAAGAATCTAAAACAGGCATCATTGATGCTATGTGCCTGCGAGCGAACTTGACGGATCGGCCACACGACAAAACACGCCGGCCGTTCTAGGGTTGGAGTTCATCAGAGGAGAGCATGTGCCCATGCCGAGGTACGGGGCGGTTCAGCGGCTGCTATCCTCAGGGAGTGGTGGACCAGGCACGACTGAGACCAGTCGTGTGCCCCTTCTCAGCTCGCTGGACATCGCTGTACGCCTTGCAGACCATGGCTGAGCTGTGTTCGTATATCAACGGCCTTCAAGGTGCCCGTTGCCTTTGCAAAGCTGCCACAGTCACCTGTGACCATGCTTCGGTCGTACCTTCAGGTCGACTGAACTCTCTCGGAGGCGATGACCACGTTTGCGAGGCCCTTTTGGAGGGAGGGGAGGGGGGGGGGGGGGNNGGCGTGGTGGCTTCTTCGCTTTGCTGCTTGAGATTCTGGCTAGGCTTGCGGCTTTTGCGGCTTCGTGGCTCGGTGGCTTTGCACTTGCGCCATCATCTGGTTGTTTCCTGCTGTTCGCCGGTCTCGTCTTTCTGTGCTTGCTGGCTTTCTCACCTCGCGGAGTTGCTGCTTGGCTTCTTGGTTGTCTGTCTTTCTGTCCTGGTCGCTTCGTGGCTTTTTGGTTCCAGCGGCTTTTGGAGCTGTTATCTGTTGTTTAAGAAAGGGTTCAAGGGTCATTCTATACAGCACAAGTCAGCGTGTAAGTACGAATCGGCTATCCAACGTTCGTTGTCGGTGCCTGCATGCAAGAGAAGCTTGCTCAAAACTTCCGGAGAGAGGGCGTCATCGGGCGTCGTCCAACAAAAACCTGGCCCACCCCAATGTAGTTGTTGCAGAGCACCCGGGTAAAGGCACCCCGAGAAAGGACAAACCTAAAGCAACGTAAAACCACCTCCATCTTGGGGTTCTGGAATGTTCTGGCGAGCTCAGCATGCAATGTGGCCTGCGGCTTGAAATGGTAGCAGAACATACATGATACAAAGATACAGCAATTCTTATCACCGAGTAGACAGTATGCTGTAAAAATCTAGATGATATCCGTATCTATATCTCTATCAGTCTCTACTTCTATCCAGTATATAGTATCTTTATACCTCTATATCTCTACAACATCTCCACATTACTATACTTCTGTATACCTATATATCTATGTCTCTATACATCTACGTACTTCTCTGCATGTCTATCTCTATCTCTACATCTGCATCTACATCTGTATCTGTATCTATATCTGCACCTATATCTGCATCATTTTCTGCCTCTATCTCTACTCTCTTTCTCTATCTCCATCTCCTCTTTGTCTATGAGCTATACATGTAGATCCAATCCATATCTATGTTTTGTATGGCCTGGCGGCACGGGCCAGCATGGCACGCAGGACACCCACACCACCCATGCTCCGCACTCCCCCTCTGTGCTCGCACACGCAAGCCTCAGCAGCATCATTGTCATCGTTGTGTTTCCTTTCCCTTGCCTTGCGGCCTTTGAGACCGCCTAAGGGCGACCCAGATTGGAGCTTCTTTTCTCTTTCGTGGAGTCTTTCATGCTGTACCGCCGTGAAGATTGCAATTTCATTTCAGGAAAAAATCCCAGAGACGCTCCGGCCTCCCCTCGGCGCCCGAAGGAGTGCCCCTGATGCTCATGATGCGCTCTCGCCACGACTTCCAAAACACACACAAAACAACAGGCCATGCCGGGGCGGGAGCCTCATCCAAGCTGCTTCGAAGATGGGCGCGCCCCCGATGCCATCACACAGTTCCTGGGCGAGTGCGGGGTCGGCTGTCGTCGGTGCCGCTGACCATGGGCGTGGGGAACGTCGCGACAGCTAGATCGGCTGCGAGGTGATGTGCAAGCCTGGTCCCGGTTGACCACGTGAGGCATTCAGCTTGTGTTTTTGAGCGGGGTGTCGAGATGGAAGGTGGGCGTGTGGGGCCCCGAATTCCTTATGTCGGGAAATGCGCGTGTACATGCAGTGACAGGTCAAACGAGTTGCAGCACAGTTCGACTGTCGTCGACCTGCGCGGTGTGTCGGGCCGAGTGTTCAGCTTGTCGATCAGTGCAGCATGCACCTGTTGACAAATCAGTATCGACCCGATGCCGCAGGTCTCGGCTCGAGTAGCCTTTTGTTTGTCTCCGATCCTGTGGAAGCCATGTCTCGTTCGGTGGCTAGATTGGAGTTTGGCTGGCGGCAGCTCGCTTCGCTGTCGGTTCTTTAAGGACTGGACTTGGCCAAGATCTACGATAGGACTCTTGAGCAGGTGCATCATGCGCTGCTGATTCTGCATAGCTGGGTCGATCGTATGGAGGCATCTGGGCTTTTGCGTTTGGTTGACTTGTTGACGAGCATCCACTGTGACAGCAGGTTGTCTGTGGCCTCTGGAGTTCTTGTGCCTGGGAATCGCAGCATTGACGGCGATGGATTCGCAGTCCGCGACTGTATCGGTCATTCTCCGCTGCATGGTGCAGCTGGCACTCATTCTCCCTTTTGCCGGAGCCGAGACGTGGTTCCCCCAAGATCCGAGCGGCAGCGGCTTGTAGCAGGATTTTGGCATCAGTTGGAGAGGATCGCCCGTTCTATTTCGGAGGTCGGTAGCTTAGGCTTACCGCTTGCATTGGTTCGCCCCTCGGCTCAATGGCCTCAGCGGGCAGTTTTTGGGATTTGCTCCGCCTTAAAGGTCTTTCTGACATCGCTCCGGCATGCATTAGAGCAGATGTCATCTCTCTTGAAGCCTTTCGTTCGAACGCAACCACACTTTTGAGAGAAGGGGTTCAGAGATGGCAGCTGGAGGTGCTGCGAGTTTCTACGCCCGTGGAGGGTCCTCTCACATTGCCCCTCGGCAGAGAGATGACCTGCCTCCACAGCGCCAGTGCGCTTCCTTTGCAGCAGGTGGCTGCAGCTCCGTCGGAGCGGGCACGCGCTCCCATGAGCTGGACTTTGAAGTCTGCAAAAAAGACAGTAAAACCTATGAAATCTCGGGTGGAAGGCTGTGCCAGGAGTAGGAGGTAGTTGCCTGCCCGTTAGCTCAGAGGAACATTCGGGCAGTGGCATTTGTTCAATGTCGCGCCGACCGCCAGGTGTCACTTTTTGGATCTTCCCACGAGCTCGCCGCTTACCGATGCTTTTGCCCACCTCAGCTGCTCTGCTGAGCTATCGGTGTTTGGTGTTGTGCAAGGAAGAGGTGTTGAGGTGCTACGGCAGAGGGGACCCATGGCCGTTCAAGGTATTTGGGGGGGCCGTTCCGCCGCCTTGTGGAGCGGGCTACGTTCGTGGGCGCAGACCTCCTGTCAACTTGGGCGGAGCAATGGCCCATTTGCTAAGGTTTTCTTGAAGCAGCTCGATCACGTTTGGCATGGTGACCCAGAGGACATGCAATCCTTTCGTAATGATTTAATGCAGGCCCTCTCAGGAGACAAGGCCTGTGCTTTTACCCGCGTTTTGGAGATTGCCAGTAGCCAACATGGTTACCACAGCAAGCTGTGGCTGTCTGAGCAAGCGGGAGCTGCAACCAATTCCTCTGGGAGACGCTAATAGAATGTTCCGGCAATACCCACTCGAAGCACCTGGTGCAGATGGGTGGACGCCCCTGATGTTGAGACAGCTCAGCGAACCAGCAGTGCAGACTGTCTTGGACTTTTTCAGGGCGTGTGAGCTTAGCGCTGATTGGCCAGCTCAGTTTGCGATGAATTTGATTGTCCTTTTGCCTAAGTCGGTTAAACGTGAGAGACCCATTGCCTTGTTGCACATACTGTATCGGGCTTATGTGCGCCTTCGTTGGCCACTGGTGGCGCGTTGCCAGCGCCTTTATGCTGGATTAGGCACGTGGGATAAGGCCACACCAGGTTGGGGGTTTTGGACATTGCCCTCTCCAGACTTGTCCGTGGAGAAGCAGCCCGCCGTCACAAGGAGCATTTGTGTACGCTCTTTGTTGGCTTGGAGACGTTTTATGACCGGTGCCGCTTCTCTGATATGATTGAGTCCGGTTTCGCCTTAGGTTATCGTTGATCTATAGGGCGCCGCGTTTCTTGAGTGGCGAGGGCACCCTTGCTCCGAGTGTCCAGCACTGGTGTGCTGGCGGGATGCCCGGCGGCGCCGTCTATCTCCAAACTTATTGTCCATCCCGTTGCGGCTAATTTGGTTAAAAAGCCAGGGGCCACAAATTTAGATGTGTGGATTGACAATTTGAGCTGGGACTCCGTTCATTCGTCGCCGCAACAGCTTGCAAATGCCTGTGTTAGGTTATACAGGGGTCGAGTCTAGCAGCTTCTTTAGCAGAGAAGGGGGCAAAAATTTCTTTAGACAAGACTTGCTTTGTAGCCTCATCTGCTGCCGCTGCTAAAGCCCTCCAAGCCATCCGACGCCCGAATGATCCTCAGGTGAAAACGATGGCTAGAGACCTGGGCGTCACCGCAACAGGTGCGCGAAGACGACTGTTGGGCTTGGCTGCCACGCCCAGGTCCAAAGCTGGCGCTCGTTCCAGGAAGCTGAATTCCTCGTGTGTTACTTCTGTTTCTCATCGCATCCGCATCGTTGAAGCCTCCATTGTCTCGGCAGGGCTTTGGGGGCACCAGTCCATTGGCGTAAGCCCCAAAAGGCGGAAGTGGTTTCGGACCCTCTGCGGCCGCCATCTTGGCAGGCAGAAATTGGGGTCATTGGATGTTCTTTTTGCCATGCTTGAGGACCGTTGTGAAGACCCGCATTTCACCATTTTGCGCCAGCATGCTAGGGCGGTTTTTAGAGTTTTCGCAAATTGGCACAGTTCCAACAAGAAAAACATTGAGGGCACTTGGCGTAGCTTGTGGTGCCACCGAAGCGCTGCGCATTCCGCTTGGATCAGGGTCACAGGGCCAATGTCAGCCACGATCGCGTATCTTATCGACCTGGGTGTCATTGCTGAAGAGGCTCGTGCTTGGAGGTACGGGTCGCTGACTCTTTGTCTTGATTGGTCCAGCCCGGATGTCACTAGGTTAGCTTGGCAGTGGCTTCTTAAGATTTTACGAGAGCGACAATGACAATTGCAGCGCATTGCGCAGCAGGAAGGTTGTGACCAGTTGCGGGCTGCGGGATGGCATCGATTTCACGGTGCTGCGCAGGTTAGCCAAGCGAACACACTTGCACAGGAACACCAGGACCGGCTTGATGGCAGTGTGGCAAGGTTCCCTGCCCGGGGTCACCCGTATATGATCGCCAAGTTTCCTGACACTTTTACAGAAGCCCGGGCAGGTTTTCCATGGCCCTCCCTATGGCTGCGTGGACTGCCTCACAAGCAGGAGATTGTTTATCCGAGAGTTGATTCTCAGTACCTGGGTGTTCGCGTGGAAGGCATTTTCTTGGATCAAACTCCACTCCGCACTGCAGGCCTGGTCTTTGCAACTGATGCCTCTGGAGGACGGGCGGCTGTGACTCGCGTCTTCAGTTCACGTGTTGGGCCATAGGTGCTTATGTCCTTGAGCCTGCAGGGCCTCGACGGGTAGGCAGTGTCTCTTGCTTAGAGCCCTTTTGCCTGTCCGTGCCGCAATTTGAGCAGATGGCCCTTTATGACTTGTTGAATCGGGTTCAGGATAATTTCGGTGTCACAATTGATTGTAAGAGTGTTCAGCAAATCCTTAGAAAGGCTAAGCCGCCCCTCTTGGGTCCTGTGCCATGGGGGAAGGTTTGGGAGAAGAAATCTCTTGCGGATGTGCACTGGGTCAATTCTCACAAAAGTGCTGAGTTTTTTGAACAAAAAGGTTGGCCACAGTCGCGTAGACTCATCAATGAGGACATCGACGGGGTGTGCAGAGACCGCTTCGGCGACATCTCCACAAGCCGGCAAAAGCAATGGCGGAAAGGCGTGGATTCGTTGGTTCAGGAGGTTTGCTATCACCTTGGACGTAAAACATCGGAAGGATCCGGATTTTCCGTGGTCTTTGCGAGTAGCTGAGCTGCCTGAGGGAGATGTCTGCCCCACTCCTACGGTCAGAGTTGTCCCTAATCCTGCCTTCACCAAGAACCACACCCCTAGTGAGAAGCAACAAATGTTGTGCCGCTTATCCGGGGCCGAAGACTCCTTGGGTCACCGGTGGGTCGAAGGCTCTGAGGGAGCGACCAACATCACGATGAAGTGCGAGGTCTGTGGATTATATGTTCAACAGATTTCAGACCAGGCCAGTTTCCGCCGCCTCATGAATGGAGACTTTCTGTGGGCTGCTCTAGCCTCCAACTGGCCAGAGCCTTGCTGGCGTACTGGGCCTGTTTTCCCTCTGCTCGACTGCTGACTGTGGAAAAACGAAACGCAAGTCCTTCTCTTCGGCTGTTCTCCTGTGGTGTGGGCACCTTGCGGTGTTCATGCGACGGAGACACTCGCTGTGCGCAGGCTGCTCTGCTGGTAGTTAGGTCTTGCGCTGTGTACAGTCTTCTGAAGCTACTTCTCTGTCGTCGGCTTAGCTGTCTTGCCAGGCTTGTTGGCCTTCAGGGACGAAGTGGCATTCCGGACTTGCCGCTGCATGACCCGTTGAATTCGGGCGGCTCTCCTGAACGTCACTCACTACTCGTACACGGTCCAGCTTGGAACCCTTCACTGCGTGCAACAGTTTCACCTGCTGGCCTTCGGGCTGGTAGGTGAGATTTCCGTAGGCAGGTAGGAGGCTGTAGATCTGTACAGTCTAAGTTTTCTGTCTAGCCTTGGAGCTGCGGCCTCTTTCGACCGCTCGGAAAGGAAAAGTAAATTGGAGGCTTGCGCGAGCAGCCGCGAAGAGTCATATAGTGTTTTCGAAAGTTTCCTGCCATGTCTCTGATGTTACCTCTGGTTAATCACGTGCAGAACGGCATGGCTGTTGCATGGTTCCAGTTTGTTTTGAGCCACCGAAAATTTTGTCTGTGCTCATTGGCCTCAAGGTTAAAAGTTAAGACAGACCATGAACGGCACAAGATCACGGAAACCATTATTGACCTCCTTGTCCGATGGAATAGCCGGCTGTGGGAAGCGGGGACTCTGCTCGCGCAGGGGCCTGCCCAAAGCAAAATTATCTGGACGGTCTTCCTGTAAAAACGTTTTGGAATACGAGCATGCGGTGAAGGGCAGCGCCCAAGCCCTCGCAGCCCTAGCACACGGGAGATTGCGGGACGTTCGCGAGCCGGGGGCTAGGTGGATTATGGTGGATTGGCCAGCAGCCCACATCCGTTGAAAAGAAACGAGAGAAAGACCGAAATGGTAACAAAAGCAAGGAACGAAGGAAAGTGTCATTCCAAAGCACAATAGGCTAATTTTCGTGCGTCGCCGCGCCTCCGCGTCCCGCGCCCCACGCCCACATCGTGCGTGCCACGTAAAATATAGGTTTAATGTATACTGTATATGTATATGTATATGTATATTATATATATATATATACTTATTTATTTATAGAACGTCTTAAGATAGACTTTTTGCTTGTTCTGTAATATAGTGGACCACCACAACTGTAATTACCCTTTCTTCACACGCCATCCCCCACCCTTCTCCCGCCCATGTTTGCCGCTGCCTGCATCCTGTGTGATGCGTCCCCATCGCCGTCCCGGTTGCGTCCCGGCGGCCGTGGATCCCGCGGCCCGCCGCCTCCGCGGCCAAAAGAACCTTAAACCAAACGAGGTTTGCGCTCGCGCAAGTGTAGGGGAGACCCCTCCTCTCGCCTCTCATGAAGAAAGCGAGTGAAAAAATCGCAAAAGCATGAGACAGAAAAAGCTAGAGTCAACAATGATCGGTGTCGTAGGAGTACAGCATTGACCCACCCCCCCTCCCCATCGAAGGGTGCTGGGCGGGGGTGAAACTGCCAAAACTAAAAAGTTTTCAGAGGTTTCAGGAAAAGTTTCAGGAATTGTGGTCCAGAGCTCCATATTTCAGAGTCGCGGGCTCTTTACAGAGTGAAGTCGTGGTGGCGTTGATGCGAACGTCCCGACGTGAACGCAAGCAGGCACTGTTTCAACATGGCGATGGTGGAGCTATGCTGCGCGCCATTGCTACGCCTCTGCAGAAGTCAGCAGCTCAGCGGAGATGCTTGGCCTTTCTGGGAAAGGTTGGACTAAAATTTGACCGGAACAAGCTCGGCCGACAGGTTTGTCGAACTTGCCTTTCCCAGAGCAGCACCGCCTGCACTTGGCAACTTTGGTGTGGAGCTTACCTGAGCTGAGAAGATCTCAGAAGTACTGATTACTTGTTACGTACCTCGACATACCAGAATGCAGAGTCTTCTGGTTTTGCTCCGTGGCTTTCCTCATTCTGTTAGCATGGCGAAATGGATTTTGAAATCCGAACGCTACTCCCAGCGCCGAGCTATCCCTGCACGTGTTGGCCGTCTTCGGACGAAGATCCGTCCATTGGTGTCTGATGTTAGCACATACAGCGATGCTGTCGGGCAACAGCAAACATGCACTCACTGACGTCGAGCACAATGCCGGATCAGTGAGTGATGCGAATGACCAGCTCTGGTTTCACTGAAGCTTGCGCTACCTCTCCAGTATGCGAGGCTCTCGATTCAACTTCGAGTATTTCTTCAGTGAAAGAGCAAAGGCGGGACCTGGCTGATTGTAGCATATGGTTCTCACGCGACATGGCAAGCATAGCGCTGATCATCAGCATACCTGCAGACAACAGTCTGTTTAACCAGTGACCTAAGAGACCGCGGAATTCCGAAACTACTTGGAGCAACTGTGGAACATGGCCACTTGCAATGTTAGGCTTACAACCGCTGACAAGCAGCCCCAGCCGGAATGAGCTGCGAAAGCAAAACCGTGCCAGCTGCTGCAGCATGTGGCGGCTGAATACGTGTAATGATTGTTCCAACAGCCCACTACATGAACTCATCGTTTCCTGTGCTGGATCGTGGCGGTGCCCTTGTCATCGAGTGTCGTGACCTTTCGGCCTCATTGTGCAAATTTTAAAGCGGATGCCCCTGTTGCATTCCACACCGTCCTCAATTTGTTGGCTCTAGTCTTTTTTTTGCCACCGTTCCAGAGTTGGTTCTCGCGCCTCTGAGCCTCTCCCACAAGGCTTGTTTTCCTTCTTCCGCTGCGGCCGCCGTTTGTTCCTTTCCTTCCCTGCACGATCCGAAATTTCTGTGCCGTGACGCCAGGATACGTCTAGTTTTTAAACTCGTCCGACCCTGACTTGGTAGAACTGACTGATGTTCGTCCGATGACCAACAATTGAAGCTGCTTATATTCACCTCCGGATTTCTCCAAGTGTTTTTTGTTGCTATTTAATTTGCAGCCTTCCTGTGTGGAAGGTGGTCCTGGAGCGCGGAGGCACGGTCCAACCGGCACGACTCTCGTGCCCCTGCATGCCGCATTCTTGTGGGTCTAGGTCCCGCAGCGCCGCCTCGAAGAGTCATGTACTCGCTGCATACGTCCTTCAAGCCGCAGGTATCCACCCATCTTCAGTCCAGGGGGTATATGCTCCATGGAGAACGATGACACCACGCAGAGCATTGGACCTGATGCCACGCAGCCAAGATCAGCCAAGTGCCTGCAAAGCAACAGCATGTGTATGCTGATCTGACCCCCATCGTGTTGCGTGATTGCCAGGTTGCATACGTGCTGACGAAGCTTCGGCAAGCCAAGGCTTCACAGTTCTTTGCTTGCGCTGACATCCAATTGACCTGAACATGCGAAATGTGTTTTCAAGCACAGTTCAATTCATGGAGAGATTCGTTTTGATGCCTCAATGTCGGGACAGCCTCAGCGAGAGTATTTGTTTGTGGAGGTGTAAGGGAACATGTTGGAGCGACAGAGACAAGCCACCAAAATCCGGCAATGGATGGTGTGGCTCTAGTCTCTCGCCGGCCAACGTACCCGTTCGATTATGTAATGCCGCTAACGACCCCACGAGGATCGTCTCCCCGGAAACAGCCTGTACAACTCAGCTTCGTCTCGTCGGAGGAACTTGGGCTTACTCAAGGCACACCGGCGACAGGTTCATGCGCTTCTAGAAGCAGGGAGTATCCGAGTAGCTGAGTAGCCCTTCGACCCTTGCTCTACGTGATTCAAACGTCAAGGATCAGTGCCACTCGGGACTCGCGACGCGATGCGTGGGGGGCATGTCGCCGCAAAAGAAGACGTGTGTAGTGACGTGCACAGACCCCCGACATCCCCCAACGATGAGAGTAACTACAACATACGGGTTTCCTACATGCGTGCTCATAAACTTATTTATTGTGGCGCAACGTCTCTCACGAAGCTCATCGATGTCCCCTTTTCGGCAACTGTCGGAGTTTGTGTGCATCACATACAGAGGCGACATTTCAGTTGGTTTTTCTTGAACCTGGCGCAAGCACATGCAAGTAGTTCACTGAATTAATTGAGGCACAACCGGTCTTTATGCAGGACTGCGCGTGGCATTTGCTGCTCGCAAGCAGTGCGACTTGTCGCAAGTAGCTGTACGTGTCATATAGTACTTCGCCATTCCATGTATTTTTTCGCGGTCTCCAAATCGCATTCGGGGGCATGTTCCCGTTCAGATTTCCGAATGCATTGTGCGTTTAGAGGCTTGTCCCGAACTCAGCCCGAAAGTAAAGCAAACACGAATTATCGATCATACGACAAGGGGCTCTAGAAGGGCGGGTTGGTACGACGTACACAGTGTTGTAATACAGCCTTGCCAATGACTAAGTCTGCCCAGTCAGACAGTCAAACCCTCAATGCTGAATTGAAGTCTGAACGCCAAGAAACATAATGCCTGAACCATCCTGAACCCCAATACCAAAGGCCAACCGACGCAGCCAGAACCCAAACACTGTCTGGATTCCGCCAAGTTTGGCGTAGGGCTTAAGTTTTAGATGGCTTTAAGGTTTAGTAGGGCTTGCTCAACCCAAAACCCCAGAGACGCTGAGCTTGGCTGTTGTATTCGGCTTGCTAAAAGTTCAGCACGCACGCACACAGACGCACACGCAAACACTCTCGGCACGCTGGGCATGCTCTTGGTTGGGTTCAAACACCGCAAGCAACAAACAACCACATCAACCACACACCAAAACATAACAAACAAACAAAGCAGGTCACTCACCTACATCCCCACCCTCAGCGGGGGCGAAGGATCCCAGTGCTTGTAATCCTGGCTGTTGAACTGCGTTCGACCTGTAGGACCTGAAGCTGCACTCACTCAAGTCATGACTCCCTCGAGTCTCTGCTGAAAATTGAAGCAACTGCACTTGAAGAAGCAATCACTTGGGACGTGACTCCCTTAAGTTCATGAAGGAGACGGTACCCCCACACACACACACACACACACACACACACACACAGACAGAGACACACACACACAGAGACACACACACACACACACAGACACACACACACACAGAGCCGAAGTGCCACCAGAGTCCGGCGGGTCGCTATTTCGAAACGATCAGAACAACAGCTATCGGAGCCATCAGTCCAAGTACAACAGCGTTGACTGAGGAGGCGACGACGACGAGTTAGGCTCAAACATTTGGAGCATTGTGGAGAAGGGAGGTAGGTGATAGGAGGAATACTGTCCAGTCAAAGTCTCAGAATACCACAGAGTCTAGCTAGCCACAACAAATGCGGACTCACATTTGCAAATTGTGCTGTCGGCACAACACCGGTGCTTCGGATGGTGCTGGTGTCCATCCAAACTTGCGGATGGGACTGGCTACAAAACGCACGAGGTATGCCATGTTAATTCGCACCTCAGCAAAGCGTGCAAGATTCGTTTTTGCGGTGTGCCACATGAAGGTGACCATGTCGAACTTCGTGGTTAATTTTGGAGCTGCCGATGGCGAATGCGGCTCCGAAGAGGCCAGGACACAGATTGCCTACGACATGCTGGGTCGCATGCCCATTACTTGGTTTTAGGACTGGAACGCGGACCCTGCAAACTGCCTTACCGCAGAAGGCAAGTTGTAATAAGTTGATTGCAGAGCAGCCGACCAACAGCATTTTGCCAAAATCGCGCCAGCAACTTATACAAGGCTACTCGGCAGTTCTTGTAGAAGGAGATCAGAAGCCGCGTACTTGGTCAAGTCAAGAACTTGCAGCTTGCTGTGTCCTGACCACAGATCCTGTGGCCTCAGGTTCTTCGAGTCGTTGCGCGATCGATACGGAAATCGATCCGATGTTTCCATGGTGCGCATGGCCTGCCGTCTGCAGTCTTGTAGTTTGCACTGTTTGCACTGATAATTAGTTATAAACGTGGCTCCGTCGATTCCTATCTTCCGTGAGTTATCCGTTCTGTTGTGCATGCGGTGCCTGACTTCACCTTGCCCCTGCCCTGCAAGCTTTGATTAGAGCCACCTCCCCGTGGCCACCGTGCCACACCAAACGTGTTCTTGCTTGATGCAACAATGTCATGCTGATGAGTGCCTTCACCGATCTCTTCGTCTTCCTTGTAGTCCGCGCTCCACATTGGACAAGACAAAGAAAGGCGCAAGAGCCAGTAGAGGACTTCTTCATCGGATATTTCTCCAGAGGCAAGCATGGCGATATGTAAGAACTGTCGACTCTCAGGCTCTCCCTCCCAAGACATGTGATCTAATTAGTTGTGTTGATTCGAGCTGTGGGTTGCGCTCGTTCAGGCAGCAGCAATCAGCTGCATACAGCAAATATACCCCAATTGCGTTCTTTGTAGCATTTTGCCGCCATGCTCAGCGAATCTTCCGATGCGCATGAAGATCTGGTTTTCGAGTACTGGGCCGGCAATCCATCCAACGAGATTTTTCACGGTCACATCACCGTGGCTGCTTTTCCAGACGTGGACGGAAGTCATGGAGCAAAGCAAAGCTCAGCGGCTGGCGGACCAGAAGCCTGCATGGCCCTAGCGACATCAGTTCCTTGCCATATGTCGGCTCCTGAGTTCTGTGATTTCGTCGGTGCCTTCGGATCAGAATCACACCGGCGTTTTAGACATTGTCGGGTCTTACATGGTCACAATAGTGAGGAGTATCTCTTGGCATTGCAGATGGCGTCGCCAGAGGATGTGTCATGGCTAGTCCGTTCATTTCACGGACGACCCTACAATGCCATCGAAGCAAGCATCTGTAGCCTGCATCCGGTGCTGAGTAGTCAGACAGGATGCCTAGAGGAGAATGCAAGTCCCAGTGCTGAAAACTGCGCCCTTGCGAAGCGACGGTCCCCAGTGCTGCCGCCGCTGCCGCCTGCTTTGCCGCAGTCGGTCGATGACAAACTTCATTCATTGGCCACTGGTTCAACCTCGCTGCCTTCGCCTTTGATGTTGCCTTCTGTTCCGCGGAAATCATCCCCCTTGATGTCTCCCTGCTCCCAGCCAGAAGTGCCAGAGCTTTTCATTCAAAGTGGAGCTGGCACACATGGCATCGTGTCTCCGACACCGACTTCGTCAGGAAATGAGCGTTCATATTGCGCTGTTTGTTTTGAAACAGTGGACTCGAACCCTGCAGAGTACCAGCTGACTGAACTTGGTGGAGGCGTGCCACTGACAATCCTGTGCGGACATACGTTTCATGCACGTTGCCTGTCACGCTGGTGTGATAGCACGTGCCCAGTGTGTCGATTTCAGCAACATCCATATCAAACATCGTCTTGCGACGTGTGTGGGCAAGTGGAAGGCGTGCATATCTGCCTCGTTTGTGGGTTTATTGGTTGTACAGCTCATCCCGGTCAAGGGCATGCTCAACAGCACTTCGAAGCAACATCTCACGCATACGCGCTGGACGTGAACACACAGCATGTCTGGGACTATGCTGGGAATGGATACGTGCACCGCTTGCTCTACAACGATCAGGATGGCAAGATGGTAGAGCATTCAGTGCCACAAGATTCCAACGAGTCTTTGGCCATCTCTGCCCAGTCTGTGTTTGGTGGCCTTCGATGGGCAGACATGGAGGACGACGACTGTGACAAGGCAACCACGTTCTGCTCGACAGTTCATTTGCATGGCAGTATAAATCGAAGGAAGCGGCATGAGAGATTCCATGATTGTGTAATTGAGCAACGCAGTGTGACGATTTGCAAGGGGCCGCAATTGTATCCTAATTTTGCGCAGACACCGGGCTCGCACCAGTTCTTGTTTGCAAAAAGCTAATGGCACGGCCCACCTGAGGGAGAGTCTCGAAATCTACATCAGCACGTCAGCACGGCTAGCTGATCTTCTACGAAGGTTCTAACACAAGACGTGCCAACCCACACTCTAGACTCTAGGCATTGCATCCAGAGAGAGCGCAGAGTGTGAGCTGTTTCGGCTGCCCAAATGAGTCGTTGGTATGACTGTGGAGATGTCTGAAGGTCCTGGGCTGTCAAGCCAAAGATCCACAAAGTAAGGTGGGGGAAATGAAAACTCCATTGCCGCTGCGAGGCAGCACAGTGCCAGTGTGGAGCCTGCAGGCAAGACAAGCGCTCCGCAAGACCGTGCGGAGAGCACTCAAGTCAATTGTGTCAGGGGTCAGGAGGAAAGCGGGGACACGGTGCCAGAAAGGCATTGCAGAAGAGCCCACACTCACAGCTGCTTGCACCGCCCAGATTGGTGCTATTTTAAATGTCTCTTCATTACAAAGCATCCTACCGGTAGGCTGGAGGGGAAAGCATGCTGGTGCACCTACACCACAGCGTTTCTTGGGGATACGGGGCGCGAACAGTGCAGCTGATATCCTGTTGGTAGCAGCATGTGGGGCCAGTCGAAGCCCGACATCGAGCAGTCCAGTCGCAGTTGCTGGAAGCGTTCAGGGCCCACAGGGCCTAGGGTCCAGCATCGCAAGTTGACGGGTCCCTGATGTTGAGGGTCCTCCGGTTGCAATGCATAGCCAAGCCGAATACTGTACTCAACACAGCCGCGAAAATTCACAACATGCTGCTCTTGCAGATCGCAGCGCTGTTCACTCGAGCGCAGCTTGCCTTTATTGCAGGCGGCCGCTGTCATGGGCTTTTGTTGATTGTGCTGCGTTGACAATTGAATTCCGGCATCTCAGGTCAGCCGTGAGCACTTCTTCTGGAGCGAAGAAACAGGCCCCGTGACCAGCCTGTGATTCCACCTTCCATTTCAGCAGGACTGAGCAATGCAGCTGCTAGGAGGCCATCGTGGGGGAGTTCAACAACTTGCTGTCTTCGCAATTGACCGCTACACGACAGCACTGCGCAGAGTCGTCGCATCAAGAAGAAATGAGACTGGTACTGATGTTGGCTTACTCTGCAATGCCAAGTTTGTTCTGCTCTGTGCCGTGGATTTGCCCTTCCTCTGAGACTACGTCCCCTTTTGATTTTGAGGCTCAGCGGCAACATTTCGATGAGCTGAGGACTGACCTGGTTGGTAGTGGCAGCTGCAGCCTAGACTTGTAGGATCTTGTAGGTAATCAGCGAGAAACGTGTTTGGCCAAGGCTTTTGTGATACTGTAGCTGTTGGTGCAGTAGCGATGGCGACAGGCAGGACATTGAGAAGCACGCGGCCAGTGAAATTGAGGACATGGAGGCTGTGGGTGCTTCACCCCAACAGTAAGCGTGCCTCACCACTGGAGATGCAGCTGATTGGAGGTTTTTGTGCTGACGTTAGTCGTGCAAATTGTGAAGGCACAGGTCGCGACTGCAAAAGGAACGGCAGATTCCGTCCACAGGCCGGGCTAGGATTGTTCTATTGAGATGGAGTAATACAGTATGCCTTTTACAGTCTCGAACATGTTTGATTGGCTGTATTCTCCTTCACCTCATCCCGAAGGCATTGAATGCCGAAACTCCTTGACGACACCGACAGCCTTTACTCACGAGATCTTAGCAGATGATCCATAAGGTGGAAGAAACCCGTTCATATTGTTGCATCAACCCTTGAAGACCCCTGCCACATCAGGAAATCAATGCCAAGCCATATTCTGAAAATGTCACATGTTCATGGGGGTTTAACCTGCATGCTGTGAGGAATACATCTGGATCAGCGTCCGGACTGGGATTAGGCTTTCGAGACGGAGGCTGCATGCACGCAAACATCTACCGGTTGCCATCTACGCTGGAGTTAAGCATATCTGGCATGCATCTAACCATCAACCTGGGATCCTGGAATGCTTCCAAACATCAACCGTTTGAGTGTCCACACTGGGGTATTGCATTTTGGGACCGAACCTGGCATGCAGCCAAACAGCAATCGGCTGAGCGGCCACATTGGGGTCTGTAGGTGTGGGTTTGCCAGTGTAGCGTCAGCCTGGATTTGCATTTCGGAACAGACATGGTATGCATCCAAACATCTGCCGGTTGAGCGTCCTCACTCGGCTTTTGTATTTCACCCGTGGGCCTGCATGCGTGAAGGTTTTGTTTAGGGTTTCGGGAACAGTTGAGCGTCCGAACTGGGGTTATGCATTGCAGAACATGCAGAACCGAATCTGTCACGCATTCAAACATCAATCGGTTGGGCGGCCACACTTGAAATTCGCACTTCGGAACCGGAGATTGCACGTCTCCAACAAACCGTGGGCTCGCAGATGGATGGCAGGATGGATTCGGTTGCAGGCGGCATCTGCTTACATAAAGTCTTGCGAAAGCCATACCTCGGTGTCTCTCTGTCTCTCTCGCTCTCTCTTTTTCTGTTCTACTTACGTTACATGTCCTTACGTGTGATTTGTATGTGTATATAAAAATATGGAGTCTTTCTATTTACATGTCTTTACATTGCATGTGTAATAGATATATATATATATATGGTACC